TGATATGGAAATCCTGTGGCAGCTCTTTAAGAGCGACGTACTGGAGGCTGCCGCCGAATGCTGCGGATTAAAACGGATTGGCCTGCCGCCTGGAGATCAGAATAGATCTTCATGGTGGACACGAAAGGTACAACTGGCAGTTAAACAGAAAAAGGCTCCATTCAAGAAACAGCTTGGAAACAACCAGCCTTCTTCTCGTGTGCGATTTGACGAAGCACGCAAAGCGGCAATGAAATCAGTGGCGAAAGCCAAAGTTGATTTGTGAGGGAAGTTCGGAGAGTGTTCGGAGAGTCGAATTTCCACATGGAAAACAAGGTATTCTGAGAGTCCATTCGAAGGGTCCGAGGTGAAAAGAAGGGTAGTCCAAGAGTCTTGAAGGACAGGTCTGGAGACCCTCTTACCGATGATAAGAATATTCTTCGGCGATGGAGAGAGTACTTTGAAGAACTGCTTAACCTCGAGCAACCGGAGGAAGATTCACGTGAAGAACAGCAAGAAACGGATATTACTATTTCTTTAGATGGAGTTACACAGGCTGTGAACTGCTTGAAAAGGGGAAAGGCTGCTGAAATTGATAAAATCCGACCTGAAATGCTCAAATCATTAGGCGAACAAGGCATGTGCTGGATTACACGTGTCTTTGAAACTGCAACTGGAAGACACCAGTTGACTGGAGTTGTAAACTGTTCAAGAAGGAATACCACAAGGAGGGCTCAAACTATCGGGGGATTACGTTATTGATCCTCCCAGGTAGTCTCCGCGAAGGTGCTAAAAAGGAGGTGCCGCGGAATAACTGACTCCAACGTACAAGAAGAGCAGTGTGGCTTCCGACCCGATCGAAGCACCTCTGATCACATATTTGACCTGCGCCAGATTGCTGAGAGATCGTGGGAGTTCACCCATCTGGTGTACATGTACTCTGTTGATCTAGAAAAAGCCTACGACCGAATCCCGAGCAACAGTTTCTGGCCATGTGTGCGAATATATGGGAGCGATGATCAGCTGCTACGGGCCATCCAATCACTGTATGATAGAGGGTGCTGTGAAAGAGTAAATGGCGTTAATTCGAAGGCTTTCAGCATTGGCACTGGTCTCCGCCAAGGCTGCGTCCTGTCCCGTGCCCTGTATGTGCTGTACATGGATACAATAGTCAGGAAACGCCAAGACGACGAGTATATCGGTGCAGGAGATATGCTGACGAAAAGGTTGCTGTTTGCAGACGACCTTGTTTTCTGGCATCTTACGAAACTGATTTACAGTGCTGCCTTGAAAAATTCGCAGACGAGTGTGACGAAGTCTTTTGTATGCGTGTTGATGTATCTAAAACGAAAATCCTAGTGCTTTCTGGTACTCCTGCCAGCTGCTGTCTTCATATAAACGGAAAAGCAGTGAAGATGTTCAAGTGCATAAGTATCGTGTTTAGCAGTGAAAGAAAATTTGAGTAAGAGATGGACAGGCAGCTTGCAGTGGCCAGTGGTGCTCTGCGTGAACTCGCCCGAACCACTTTTGCTAAAGCAAAGCTGAGTCCGAAAATCAAGCTCTCGGCATTCAAGTCGATGTTCACCCCCATGTTTACCTACGGTCATGAGTCGTGGACCATGAAGCTTCGATCCGTGGTACAGGCTGCTGAAATGGACGTTCTGAGACGAGTCGCTGGTCCTATGCGTCTCGAC